ATCGACTTTTACTATGATTTAACTGTCATCTTGAATCCCTTGGGTTCAGAGTATTTTTCAGTCGGCAAGATCATAATTGTATACCATCAATTTATTTGGCTCCCAATGTATGGAGCACTGACACACTATGTGAACGGAAGGATGCTAGATATTACGCCCCTATTAGTCGTTGAAAAAAGGATGCTTGTCTTTGCACGAAATTACTGGTTAAACAACTTCTGGATGACTTGTAAAGAAAACAATGTTTAAAATCAGTTTCGCTTCCATCCTCAAACGTGTTCGAGGTGTAGATTCTACAATTATCGGCTTTAGTTTCCCTAAAAGATAATGGAGGAGACTAAAAGTACTACCGTGGTGGTTTTTTTAGAATATCTCGGTATTTAGTAAGATTCATGATAGCTTGTAAAAACTTTTTGAATGTCCATATGTACCTTCTGCTGACAAACAGTTTATTAAAACAATTCTAAACCCAGGAAATCAATGTCAGGTAATGGGTGTTTGGGAAAATAGTGACTCAAAATGAATAATGGGATGTGGTTCTTTTTATGTTGAGAACATCAATGGATTCCAAGTATTGACCATTTGTCTCGTATTAAATATATGATACATATATCACTTTAATATTGCTTCTATCCACTAGTTTTAGATCGGTTTGATTACGTGTAGTGATTGAATCTACTACTAAGCTATAAGTTATAGGCTTAGAAATATAGATAAAAAATGGACAGATACACAATCCAACGGACTAAAATCGAACCAACACAAATACAATGATTGAAGTATAGGATAATGATAGAGGAGTTCAGTATTAGTCATCGAAGAACAATTGAAAAAAGGAAATAACCAGTAGAATTAAAATGACTCATTAAAATGACTATCTATGATTAAAAAAAACTATTGTAAAGAAAGTGGTAAGTTTTTCTTCACGAAACAAGATCTGTTTTAGAAAACGTGATTAATGTAGAACGGATGATTTATGTTGCTACCACATTTCATAAGCTGAGGAAAAATAATCCTTAAAATGAACCTCAGTTCCAAATACAGCCAGTTCCTCATAAACTGCTACGATCATATCATTTCATCGAAAATTCTTGGCCCATAATCAAAATAGCTAATATTGTAAAAATAAAGCAAACAGCAATATTTAAATATACTTATTATTCAAAAGCTGTTCAAACTCTAACCAGCGTGATAACAGGAAACCAGTAGAGGGAAATACAGCGTGTCATTTTGGAGCCTTGAAAAATTGCTTTATAAACCAAACAGAACTTTATTAGAGATCTATTTGCAAAATTTTGGTGTCCCATACTGGATTTTCACCAGGTTTTAGAACGTTTGAAACATTAAAACCATGGTGTAAACTCTGATCACTTGATCACAATCTTCAGTATAAGTCAATAGACTTTTCAGTTGATTACAATCCAAAGGGACGAAATGGACTAGAAGAAAGGAACGAGAATGGTGACAGATTTTAAGTGTGTGCATTCAACAGAATGGTTATAGGTGATACAATATTCTCTCACAAACGTATACACAAAGCTACAGAGGTCTCACTGCATCACACTACAGAAAATCAGATCGATCGTATTCACACCATTAAAAAATTCTGAAAGTCAGTGTAAGAGGTATCACACTACTATCGGTGCCAGTAGAAGTTTACAAAAGTGTTGTTGAATCGGATGAAAGATTCAGTTGACGCCCAACTTCGAGATCAACAGACCGGATTTTGTAAGGACCGGTCGTGCACAGATCAAACAGCGACACTATGGATCACTGTTGAACAATCATTAGGATGGGACTCGTCATTATACATCAACTTTCTTGACTATGAAAAGGTATTTGACAGTGTGGATAGGAGAACCTTATGAAGCTTTCCTCGACACTATGGTGTATCTGAAAAAGTCGCCAACATCATTCGGAATTCATACATTGGTCTACACTACAAGACGTGCATGGAGGATAGCTGACAGACGCATTCCAAGTGCGGACTGGAGACAGACGAGTCTGCTTACTCTCTCCCATTCCTACACATCTAAGGGGAAGCATGGAATACAGTAGAAAGCTTTGTTGTAACTACACGATTTGGATTTCGCAGACGACCTAGCTCTAATATCCCATGCACATCAACAAATACATGTCAAAACAGTGTGGCAGCAGCCTCTACAGCGGTAGGTTTCAATATACACGAGGGAAAAAAAAAGATCCTCAATTACAACATTGAGCACACCAACAAAATCATAAATTTTCGCAGATTGAAATCATGAGTCAGTTGAAGCTAGACCACCATTGAAAACCTGGAAGCACTAGACGGCCGTTTCGTCCTAGTATGGGACTCCTCAGCAGTGCGCATCCACGACCCCGCACCACTCGGAGTTCGAACCCAGGACCTACTGGCTTCGTGCGCGAGCACTTAACCATTAGACTACTGAGCCGGCATCCAACGGTGTTAATGTCTAACTTCAACCATACTAGGACGAAACGGCCGTCCAGTGCTTCCAGGTTTTCAATGGTGGTCTAGCTTCAACTGACTCGTGACTTCAATCTGTGAAAATTTCTAAAAATCTCCACAAAACACATTCTGATAATAAAAATCATAAATGTTGGAGGAACTCTGAAACAGGTGAAAGATTTCACATAGCTGGTAAGTATCATCTATAAACCCGGAGGATCCGATGCAGACGTAAGGGCAATGATTTGCAAGGCAAGGGCTGCATTCCTACAGTTGGAGAACATTTAGAGCACAAAAAAGCTGTCAGTCAACATCAAAGTGATAATCTTCATTATAAACGTCACAATAGCTCTACTATATGGAGCTGAAATGAGGAGAACTACTGCAACCATCATCATAAAAGTACAAGTATTTATAAACAACCGCAAAATGCTGTGTCCGTTGACAGGAAAACATCAGCGACAGCCTACTGTGTGAGGGAACAAACCAGTTTACAGCTGAGGAGAAAATTAGGAAAAGACTTTGGAAGTGGATAGGACATATACTGCTGGAATCATCAAACTGCATCACGAAGCAAGCGCTAACTTGAAATTCCAAAGGGAAACGGAAAAGTGGAAGGCCCGAGAAGACACAGCGGCGAGAATTGGAAGCAGGCTTCAAAAGGATGAATAGTAAATGGGAAGGATTAGCCAGGACAGAGTTGGATTGAGAATGCTGGTGGGCGGCCTATGCTCCTCCACGAGGAGTTACTAAGTAAATGAATATCTTAATTCATGGACAGTTAAACGAACTCTACTGACCAACGACATGATATGTTTCACAAAATGTAAATATTTTCATGCGAGATATTTGGCTGTTAAGTCAACATAGATTTGTCTTTAAATAATTATACATATGGACCTCAACGGGTTGAAACTCACATTTCAAAGCTCACGGGCACAAATAAAATCAGTACCACTAATTATGATTATTGAATAAAACACACTAATAGAAACTCATACACAGTTGTGTAGTTACCCAACCATTTGAGTTGAATGTGTATGTCCGTTTCCCTCGTAAGCGATGTACAGAGATATTTTAGTTCCGAAAATCTTAGTATTTTGTATGTTCCATTCGCTAGACGTTATACCTACATTCAGAAGGCTATCTTTGTTTACTTGACTAAAAGTATGAAGCTGACAAAGACTTATGAGAAATTGTATGTTTTTTTGCCATCTTTGTGCAACGTATCACTGTTACCAGACGAAGAAGTGACATCAGTCCATGAAGTCGGTGACTGTTGGATTTTTCCGTATTGATAAGTGCAGATGAACTGATTGAGGGTCCGCGCAATTATCGTGAGCAATAGGTGAGATAAATTTACTATGTTTCTCTCAGATCTCTCAGTTCCGAAATATTTTTATGCGTTTTTGTTTGGCGAATTCACTATTTATTCTAATACCATACTGCATGTGCTAAACGTTTCTTTTGATACTTATACCGTGACTACCTATACCATCCTGGGACAGCACCGTCTCGCAGTACTAATGATGTGCTGTGGTAATTTAAGCCGATATACATAAGTATCAGGATTTACGTTGTTTATAAACGACTGAATTCGTTGTGATTATCGTAAGAAACAGCCATTCACACAAATGAATATAAACCTGTATTGGCATACCATTGAATTTCTTTTTAAGTACAGATCTAGTAGGTTTTAGGGATGAATTCAATCGTTCTCTAATTGTCTTTCATATTTTGGGAATACAGAACGAGTATCATTAAAGTTAATATGTAAGCGTTTGGGTTATCTTGTTGTTGGTGATTTTGGCTGTTATATGATCAAATTTTGTTGTCATATGTTCATCTTTTGAGGATCGCCTCGGTATAGCAATTATGAGACAAGTTGACGTAGATGGAATGAGGTTAGTAGTGGAATTCGGGACGCATGTTTCGTCCTACTTGGGACTATTAAGTTGGACATACCTACATCCCAGAGTCCTCACTCCTAGACTCGAACATAGAACAGTTCGCTTGAAACGAGCTTGTTATCCACTTAACTATTGAGTGCAGTTAGTCACTCACTTGTGAAGCGGATAGGAGATTTAGCATAGATATGATAAATTATTGTTCAAATGATTTGACTCTTCTATCTACGTCATATAACATTCAGATGGTAAATTTAGACAAGACTAATCTCTACGGTTTTTGTAAATGACGTCTGAGGCGTTCAGTATCACTAATCATGAAGTATAAACATGTAAGCTAAAACAGTTTTCATTATAATTCAATCTATTAACACTGTAAAGTACATGAGACTATAATTTATTAAGGACCTTTGTGGGATGCTAAAGTGACCTTGAAAAATCAACCAGTCTACTAGGATCAAAAACAGATTATAAGATTAGTGTGAGGCATTAGGATTAAGAGTTAGAAGTTCAAGAGCTACAGTTACGTTTTCCATCACTCACCGACATTCGTTATAATGCTAACTTGACTCACGATCATCACTAGGTTTTTTAGGAAATATATGTAACAGGCCTTCAACTACAACTTTACAAAACGAAAACTCATGAAATAAAGGATCTTTATTTAAAAAATATGCTTGTACATAAAGGGTAAATAACAATATACAACAAAGTGTACAAATGTTCTTTTGAGCGAGAATTGATTTTGGAATTCTATGATTCAATGTTTAAGTGTATTTCTAACAATAATACTACAAACAGTATATATAAATATAAATCATGCAAAGCTGAGAATGAATTCCAAACAAACAAGATCTTATAGTTTATTATTATTTTGAAACCTCCAGATTTATCCACCTTTTTAACTCATCAAATCAATTTAATATTTTAAATAGAATTTTTAACTTTACCAATCAAACGTTGAATTTTATTCAGTTTGTCGAAATGTACTTCATGGTTTTCTTCCTGATAATGACTTTGTTGTAGGCAGTGCGGTGCTGTTGATTGAAGATGATGATCATTTGAATCATGTTTCTGATGTGATGGTGTTATCTGTTTAACTCTGACAATATCAACATTGTCATCATCATCATCATCATCATCATCATCATCATCACCACGTTCAATTTGTTCCGGTAATTTTATAGAAGTAAACGTTTGAGCAGGACTTTCTGGAATTTGTTTCTGTAATGTGTTGAGAATAACAGCAGAGCTGGCTGCAGCTAAAGCCTAATAAATAAAAATATATAAATGAATTTGGAAAGGAAAAACATTCTATCGTTCTTATGTTTTTTATGGAGAAATGGGGGCTGTCGGAAGTTGTTTTGGTTTCGTTTTTTTACATCTTATGTATGAATCTTATGCATATTTATTGATGCTCAGTTGAAAAAATCCCAGATTAGAACGAAATAACCTAAAGGAAAGCTACGTAGATTGAATAAACTTCATATCAATTGATGATATAAACCTAACAAATAGAAAGAATTCAGAAGAAAAACTGACTTTCTAACATTTGAATAAATAGGATTTGAAATTTATGACTTGAACAATTTATATTCATTATGTTTGGTATGTGCATAACAGTGGAATCTAGATGTGTATTACGCCTCAGTTGTAATTAATCTACTGAATATAACTGAGTCTCAGTGTTGATATCCACATTAAGACTGGAACACAGTAAATGATAAGTTCCCAAGGTATCAATACCGAAGACTAATTAAAAAAAAGTATAAACACTAGTTAACGGTGTATTGAATTAAGATAATATTGACATTATATGTTGGGATACATGTACATGTATATTGTCAATTATGTCAAAACTATCTGTCTGTCAGTGATATTAAATTCATTTGTTTTATTTGTTTTATCTTCACTACAGACAATGATTCTATGGGTTATATTATATTAAATTATCGTTCAAGAAAAAAAGCAGATATTAGTTATACAATTATTATTGGGAACTCTGAGTTCAATCCCCAATGGAAATGGGTGGGTCATGGATATACATTGTAAAGATGTTGGATACTACGAACAAATGAGTTATCCACTACCTCCTGGTTTTCAGTCGTTAGCTAGTCTAAAGTCAGTTCATGATGTGAACTATAAAATTCCTCAATCGATAATAATAATAATAATAATAATAATAATAATAATAATAATAATAATAATAATAACAACAACTACTACTACTACTACTACTACTACTACTACTACTACTACTAATAATAATAATAATAATAATAATAATAATAATAATAATAATAATATGAACTTACTGTTTGACTGGTTGTTAAAGCTAGGTTAGGATCTAACGGAACAAAGTCTGCATTACTAACAGCTCGTTTTATCACTTCCTTTGTATGAGCTTCAGTAAGTTTTTCAGCTACTTTTAGTTTACTTTGAAAAAATTTCGTATCATCCATTACCCCAGTGGCAACAGCTAATCCACTGACAAGTGAACCGCCTAAATTAAAATTCATTTGACTATTAGATATCGCATGAGTCATTGTTATAGATGCATTACCAGGACCAATATCATAAATACGCGAACGATGTAACGATTCATTTGATTTAATCATCGAAATGAATTCTGTACGATATTCTTTCTCAGCCGGTCCCCATTCATGAACAGGTTTCAAAAATTCTTTCATTAACTATTCATAAAGGGAGGTAGGGGGTTTAAAAATAATTTTCTATGTAGTAATGGAAAATAAAAATATACCTTTGAGTAAACTAAAATGAAACATATCTAGGTCACTCTGTCGACTCTGTTCCTGAACACCAAAGTATATGAAATTATAGAGAAAATATTCACATTAACAGTTACAGTGTAACTTGACTGGTAAAATCTGATCAACACTAAGGTTTAGATGTAAAATTAAGTTTTACTGACCAGTCATAGTTAGATTTAAGATGGTAGCTTTAAGACAGGTTTTTAAACAATCTAATGATAAACAATTTGTATCTGAATAGGACGTCGTAAATTTATAAACACAGTAGGACTAAAGAATATTGAGGAATTAGAGAGTAACTCTTGAAATATTAACGAAAAATCTGAGTACATTGTCGATACGAAAAAATTGTACAAAACAAAACGAGTTGCAACATGACGTTTTAACATAATTAGAAAATGTTTCAATGTGACCAATATGTTTTTGAGATCCGGAATTAAAGAACTATTTACATAACCGTTTATCAATTCGCCTACGAGTCATTCTTCTACTGTAACTCAAACTTATATTCCTAACTCTAATGTTTTCGGGTTTTTATGTAATAAATTATTTTTTATGGATCACATCAATGACTGATCATTGTTAGACCACTATTGAAAACCAAAAAGCACTGGACTGTTCTTTTGTCTTTTCGGTGATCTAGAGTTCAAGCGTCCGCAACTGAGAGAGGGGTGACTCCTTGTCGTGAGACTGTGAATTCTTAATGCTGGGGGAGTTCCATACTAGAAAGAAACAGTGCTTCTTGGTTTCCAGTGATGGCACAAATATGATCAGCATATAATGTGATCTATTTAAATCAGTCAATCTCCACAGAACCCCTAAATAATTATTTCTTTACATTACTTGCATGCTGATTAGCCAAAAATGGGTTATACTAACGAAAGTTGCTAATTTTTGTCAACAAAGTATGTTTTTTATTCACCTAATACACTTTATCAAAGATCAATTATTCATAATTGATTAACAACATAAAAATAATGAAAGAAACATACAACAAAGCCGCCTTCTTTACAGTATTTATATAAAAACCATGCAATGATTGTTAATACAGGTATAGCTGCTAATATTTGACGAAATATTAATGCCCATTGTGGATATGTATAATTGCCTTCTTTAAATTCTGTTGAATAAATAAATATTGCAATAATCAATAAGAAACAAATGATCGGTGTGAATACAAGCCAACAGATACGCCAATACCAATTTGGTCGTTCATCAATCATCATTTCAATATCACGTCGAAATTGTTTTAAACCTAAAATATAATAAATGAAAAAGAGAAATTTAGAAAAAAGTGAAGATAAGAATTGGAACAAATAATTTAGGTGAAAATTTTCATCATTGTGAAAATTCATTCAGATGAGTATGACAAGAATAAAGCTTTAAAATTCACATCATGAACAGATCTTAATCAAACAACCACTTAAAATCAGGCGTTCGATAGTTGTTTTGTTCATAAGCATGAGACTTCACAGAAATGTGTACGGATGATCCCTGTTGTGAGTAGTTAAGTACAATATTGTCGGCTGTGTAGCGATTAACCACTGAGAGACTTGAGAGGTGATTGTGCAATATCATGAATTCAGTTCAACACTTAAGCCTCCCCAAGGAGACCTGAAGTCCTTCAATCGGCATACGCACTGTTGAGAAGTCTCATTTAATGATGAAACAACTGTCAAGTACTCTCTAGTTATTCATGTTTATCTAGCTACAGCTAATTCGTGATGGAAACTACAGAATTCAAAAATCTTCATTAACTCATATGCAGTAATATTGATCACTTGATAACAAGGGACTAAGTTTGAGATATATTTGCCGAAGTTCTAAGCGAAGCTGTGAAAAGAGAAAGCCAACCACGTCGAGTATTAGGCAGTTACCCACCAATGATTTTGGAATGAAAATTGACTGAAACTAAACATACAGACTGTTTAAAATGATTATTTAATAGTTAATTGCTGGCATCAAAAACATAATGATCCTTGGTTCAATTATCAGTTTATCTGTGAGTGCACTTTCCTGAGAAGACCTATACTGGGACGAAACAGCTTTCCATTGCTTCCTAGTTTTTAATGGCTGTCTAGCTACAATCAGTTTATGACGAAAATTATAAAATTCAACAATCTCTACAAATCCTTTATACAGTCATTCATGCCGAGTATTAGGCAGTTATCTAGATATCAAGCTGATTTCTCTGTATCAAATGAATTACTCATCATTACAGGCATGTGGAAAATCCTAACTTTGTTACATCTAATTGTGTTTACCAGTTTACATCTACGTGCCAAAGCACATACATTGGAAGAACAGAAAAGAGTGTTAGTTTACGCATCGTTGAGCGCATTCCATAGAAGCTAAGACTTAGAGGACAATTCGTTTTTAGCAGTGCAAATTCTTACTACGTATCTCACCTGTACTCAGTTTATTTTATTTTAAGAGTTAAATAATAACAATTATATATTGCTTCTAAATAATTCTGTTCCTATGTTCTCAGTTG